CTCTAGATGATTATTAACTTTGCCAAAGTACTCAAGTGGGTCAAGATTCACAAGATGCTGTAAGAGGTGACCTGACCATTTGCTACAGCGACGGTTGCTCCGAGCTTTATTTTGCCAAAGATCTAGGTTTAAGGTTACAATTGGGATTCACCGTAGCATGTATCGTACAGCCACCATAAGAAATATCAACCGAATGATATAACCAGTAAAAGCAATAAAAGCATTTGCTAATCATCTATAAGACATTAAGAATTAAATTCAATCATAACGCATTCATTCTACACATTCTCAAATACTAAAAAACAGCTCATCTATTGTTAAAATATACACAGTACGGGTAATATTATTTTTTAAAAGAATTAATTATTCCTTAATTGCAACCAAAACTTGGGATACAATTTCAGATACAAATAAAATCACAAACAGATAGATAACAATGGTAGAAATAATGTACAAAAAGTTTTTAAACAAATGGCATAATCTGATACATAAATATACAAACAACAATGTGCTACAGTCATTTCATTACATATCAAATAATTTTATGTTAGCTCATAAGTACAACATTTCATAATAATTGTATTTAACATCTGAAGTAATTAGGGTAGGGTTGTCTATAAATTGAGCAGTTTGTAATGAAATTGATAATAATAATGGATACAAAAGAAATAGCAGGTCACCAACATTACACAGATTCAGAATGGAGTTGTGAATGATGGTACCATGTATCGTCTGACTCTGTTGAGAGACAGAAGGGCGTTAACTCATATTCATTACACAGACCCAACACCCTCCCACCTCTCAACGGACGATATGTCATATCAAGCGTATTGAAATCAAATTAAAAAATAAAACAAACTGAGCCTAGAGTAAGGAGTGAGTCAAACTTAACTCTAAGTTTGATTTGAGAATTATGGAGAGCCATTTGTAGCCTTAAAATAAAATATATTCAAAAGCAAAAATTTCAACTTTTATAGACTTTTCATAAACTCCACATCAAGAACATGAAATCTCCCATGATAATAGAAATTATGAATTATTTGAATCAACATTTCATGCCTTTTAAAATTACTTTTACAAAATATTTTCAAAGTTGCTAACGACTTTCCATAATTGTTAAGTCCAACTTAGAGATATGTTCAACTTAAGATTTTTGTGAAACACCACCTGGTATACAAGTAATAGTACTTAAAGGAAGTGAAAACTTTAGGAAATATCTAATTGCAGCAATCTACATATACATTCTTTACTTTCCATAACATAGTCTAAAAATGCACTGTATTACATTTCCACTACATAGTACAGTTGTATGCATTATTATGACAAATTTAAACATACTTGGTAAGACATTGATGCTACAAAATTAAAAAAACAACTCTTATATCGTTAAAATATGTATATATTTACAATCTTCATCTACATTCTGTGTATCACTATTATGCCTCCTTTATTACATGTAGTAGTTGTAAAATTAAAAATACAGGTATTTAGTAACACATTCATTCTCCAAATTCAAAAAGGTTATCAAAAATCCCTTCAGTTGTTAAAACATTCATAATTCATGATTCATAGTTTATTTCACATCCCCAAAAAGGAGAGAAATGTAAATTTGACAAGATACAGAGAATAAATAATATATGTGCAGTTAATAACTAAATTATTCATACGCTTACCAAGTTTTGTAAGTTTTTCAAGTGTGTAAAAATATATTTGTCCCAAATTATTTTACTTTAGAATGTGACATATTAAATCTAAAAGTATTCAACAAAGGCCCTAGTTCAACCAGTCCACCTCTCATTCTTGAGTTATGAAGAAGAAGAAAAAAAACATCAAATTTTCAAGGGGTATGAATAATTTAGTTGTTAAATGTACATTGAAACCATTACAAAAAAACAATTAAGTACAGTTACAAATTGCAGCAGCTTTACTTTACATTTTTCACTATCCGTATGACATTCAAAATGTGTACATTTAACATGCATAGCTGTCGATCATTCCTCTTTTCCAAGACTTGTTCCTATTTATTTAACTTCATAAAAGTGTTAGTAACCGTTGATTCCTCTGTAGTTGTTTTTGATATATGGAAAACCTCTCTGTAAAAGCTAACTGAATACCAGTACACCGATGACCGATACCGGTAATGCAAGCCGTTTTAGGAAAATGGGGTGCAGCAAAGCAAAATAAACAAAAAAGTCACATTATAAGTGTAATTTTCCTTGCTATCTGGTCTGATCAAAGCTATAGTAGGGGTATCGGTAAACAAATTTGCCGAAATTGTTTTGGAGGATTTTACTGTTTATTGGATGATTATTTTCACAATTAGTTTGCCTTTTTGTGAATGAAAGCAGTCGGGTTAAACAGGAATAACACTATTGATCACCCTGTTTGCTCTCATGCTCTTTTCAAACTGGGCCCAGAAGAGCTCCTGGCCATCTTCATCCTCCGTCCACAGCATGTAGGGTTTGTTCTTACTCATGAACAACCGGACCAGGTACGGGAGATCATCATCCTGGATGTCCTCAAGGAAAATTAGGATGACCTTGTCCAGTCTGGTGTCATTGAGGTGCTCTAGGGCTATGCGTAGCTTGGTCAGAAACCAGGCTTCATCCACAGAGTTGTTGCTTATTAAGAGGACAGTCTTGAAGCTGTTCTCAACAACGTAGTGGAGAGCTGGGATGTAGAACATCTCGATGTTGAGGTTGTTATCGCCGAAGGCCACTTTCTGGAGATGTGGAAACCTCTCCTGCAGGACTGGCTTCATGATCTGGTCCACCCATTCCTGGTCATCCTCATCGTACATCAGGTTGAGCTGGTACTCGTAGTCCTCGGTATCAAAGTCTTGGTTGATTTCCTCGTAGCCAAAAATGGCTAGTTTTAGGAGGAAGAGCTTGTAGTTGAGCCACCAACGTTTTCGATATGCCACCAAGCACAGGATGGCCACCATAACAACGGAGAAGGACACACCTGTGATGATGAGGATATTAATGCCACAGTATTGATCAGGATGGAATGCAAGGATTGGCGATTGCACCATGTCTTTGATGGAAGAGAGTGAGCAAAGTGTGTCATCAGGATGGATGAGTTCGACATTGCCTGAACGTAGCCACTCCACAAACCAACTCAAGTCGCATGTACAGGAGAAAGGGTTTCCTGATGCGTGTATTCTCATCGTCTCGTTGGTAGGAAACACTGTTCCATGTACTATTGTGATGATTCTGTTGCGTTCCATGTACAGGTAGTGCAGAGATGGGGTTCTATTGAATAGGGTCTTGGGAATCGTATCAAGTTTGTTATTGGTTATGTAGAAGACTCCAAGCCTGGGCTGACTTTGAAGTAAATCTCCAGGAATTGTTGAGATCTCATTGTCACGAAGATCCAAACTTGTGAGAGAAGTCAGACTGTCAAAAACATTGGGAATTAGGACTTTAATAGAAGACTGTGAGAGGAGCAGTATTTCAAGTCTCTTCAGAGGGTTGAAAGTTCCTGGTGCCAAAATATCTAGGTGATTCCCTTTTAAGTCCAGCCTGACCAACGATGCAAGTCCCAAAAAGAGTGATTTGGAGGTCATGGTATCAAATAAATCTGTGCTCATCAAACCATTTTCACGCATAGCCAGTTTCACGAGAGATGTAGTATTTGTAAATTGGAGTTTCGAATGAATAACCACCTCTGCAACTGATAAATCTAATATGCAAAGAGCATCCATGTAACGGAAAGCTCCATCAATGAATTGTTGAGGTTCATTGGTGAGGTATAGCTCTTTGAGATTCTTCAGATTCACGAAGGCATGTGCAGAATAGTAATTTTGAATTTCATTGTGAGACATGTTGAGTATTTTAAGATTAGTGAAACCCCATAAAAAATACTTCTTGATACTTGTGAATTTGTTGAAAGAAAGATCCAGATATGCTAGGGAAGGAAATGTTATGGTGGTGCTTCTCTCAATATCCTTGATATTGTTATGAGCCAGGTCTAGGTGATTTAAAGAGGTTAGATTAGATAATATACCAATGGACCAGCTTGCAATCCTATTTCCAACAAGGATTAATCGCTGTAACATGTTATTGCAGGAAAACATGCCTAGGGGTAAGGATGTTAAAAGATTATCGGATAGATCTAATTCAACCAGCTGGTCTAATCCACAAAAAGTCCTGTTTGATAAAATATTTATGTGATTCTGCTTAAGTATCAAAATACTTGTCTGATTCAAACCCCAAAACACAAAATCTGGGAAGGAGCTCACCAAGTTATCTTTGAGATTGATGATATATATCTTGGGGCAACCACAAGGATGGTTATGAGTTTGGTTCAATGGAATTATATGTTGTATTTTGCATGCTGCCAAAATCTGTTCATTAATTTCATTGTTTGCTAGAATAGAAGAGATATGGAATTCCTGAAAAGTATTCTTTGAAAGAATCAACTTGTTGACTTTATTCAAAGCTGAGAAAGCATTTGATGGAAGATTTGTTAATGCATTGTTGACAAGATATAGTCGTATTGATGGACAGTTCTGAAGGGGTGCGAAGTCTAAGGGTTTTATGAAGGAGATGTTATTGTAGGACAGATCAAACAGAGTGATATTATCAGACCAAGGCAAAGCATCTGTTGGAATAGAATTAAGCTTGTTGCTACCGAGGTGGAGCACCGAGAGAAGTCTATTTGAACTAAGTAAACCTGCTGGAAGAGACATTAGGCGGTTTCTCTCTAGGATTAATTGTTTGAGATTACCCAAATGCCCAAAGGCACCGTCTTCTATCACCAAGAGTTGATTTCTTCGGAGTACAAGTGTGATGATGTCTGGGAGATAGGTGAAAGACTCATTGTACAGACTTGTTATCAGGTTGATGGAGAGATCAAGTAATGTTGTGTTGCGTGGAAGATCCTGAGGAACAGACCGAAGACCCAGACGAGTACAGATAGCTCTGGTACCGAGGCTGGTAGTCGTAAGCTGGCATCCACTGGGGGAGACAGAGCTCCAGTTTCCATCCTTTTCCGCTATGTCATTCCCAGGCAAAGCTCCAGTTAGCAAGGATAAAACACATGCAATCCACAAGCAGAGAGGAATCCTTGAGGTTGTACAAGTCATCCTTGACTTGAACATTGTGATCTTTTGGTTGTCACTACTGCAGAATAAATTCCTTTGGAGATTTTTAAAGTCTTACTATCCAAAATATCTCTTTCACTCCTTTCACAAAAGTGAAATATTTCTGTGAATTTTGAACCTTATGGCCAGTATGTTTCTATGAATGAGTGATTTGCACAAGATTACGTACCGTAGAAAGATTGTAATATCTTTGGGGCCCCTACTGCAGATGACGTACCCTTCAAGATTTTAAATATCTCGCCTTCTTGAAATGAGAATATTCATATCCCAGATTGTCCAGTCTCCAGATAGTGATGACTGAACCAAATCAAGCCAAAATGAGTATATGTAAATATATCAAAAAGTAAACGATCAACCCAAAGAGAAGCTGTTCAATAGTATTAGGGCTATATCTGACCTTGTGTTCTGTTTCACTTCTTTTCATTCACTTGAAATTAATTTTCCTACCTCCTGAAATACATAATGATTGTGGTCTTTGTTGGAGGAAGTGTTGATATAAACATCAATTTTTCTTTTGTTAACAAAAAAGGAATATGTAATATTGGCTGCCCCACGATGTTTCACTTTCGTAATCCAAAATGCTTAAGCCAATAACACCTGCAGTTTAAGGGATAGTTGAGTGCTTTTTTTCAATTATGGTAAATGATTTATGTGAAAATATTCCTATAAATTACTTCAAATATGTCGATTTAAAAATGATTTATCTTTAGTACAATGTCGTAAATCAACAGACGTTTCACAATTACAGCCCATACTTAACTCTGTGCAATTCTGGTCACAACCAAACAATATGTCACTCAATCCTTCGAAGTGTTTTACCCTGCAGGTTACTTTTATGAAAAAGTCCTGCTTCTCCTGAAGTTCTTTCCATTAATGACTCTACTATATGCAATGTACAAACTAACATTTGAGTTGAACTGAGTTGAACTGTAATATGAGAAATGAAAATACTTTGTCTAAAAATATTAAGGATATTTGTCGTATTTGCCACCTTAATCAGTTAATCAATGAGCCTACAAGAGTTACACCTCATAGTAGTACACTCATTGATCTAATACTTACCTCAAATTCTATTGCTAACTTGAAGTCTGGTGTGATGTCCATTGGTTTTTTAGTGACCACTGTTTAATATTTCTTGTCGTAAAAGGCAAAAACCCAATGCTTCATTCGAAAATATTTTAATTTTGATCTTTTCGAAACTTTAACGAAAGCAAATTTTAAGAGGACTTGAGAAATCAAAATTGGGCTGACTTTAATGAAGAAAATGTTGAAGTTGATAAAATGTGGTCTCATATCAAATCTGTGTTTACGATATCAAGTGATAAACATGCACCTTTTATTTGTGTCAGAAGAAAACGAAATGGGGTGCTTTGGATTACAGATGAATATATTACGTTGGCACGTGACCGTGATTACTATAAGAAAAGGTATAAAAAGACGAAGTGTGATTTGCTGTGAAAAGTTCAAGTATTATAGAAACAATGCAAATAACCTAAACAACAATCTTAGAAAAGACTATTACCAAAACGAGTTCTCCGAATGCAGAAATGATTTGAGCAAAAATTTGAAGGTTTTGAAAAGAGTCTTGCCTTCAAGGCAAAAGGAGGTAAACAACACAATCTTAATTGATGGTGAAATTATAACTGACGAAGTAAAGGTGGCAAGTTTATTAAATGAAACTGAGTAATGTGAGTTCAAATCTACAAACTGGTTCATGTCCTAGCATAGTGGATGGCAATTTCAATTCTTTACAAACTTTATTTCAAACCGATTGTTCTTTCAAATATTGATTGTAAAAAGGCTATAGGAAGGTCTACATCCCAAGTTACTCAAATTATCTGAAGATATCATTGCAAAAATGTAATCAATCATTAAAAACTTAATGATTTCCATTTAATTTCAAGGTTGCAAAAATCACTCCGATACACAAGGGAGGTACGTTTAGTGTTGATAATTTCAGACCCATTTCAATACTACCCTCTTTGTCAAAAATTCTAGAAAAAGCCGTACATAAACACATGTATTCTTACCTCAACCAAAATAATTTATTATCAGAACGTCAGTCTTGACTTAGACCACTTCGTTCCACAGTTACATGTCTTACCGAATTTACTGATTACCTTCTTGATAATATGATTTCGGTTCAGATTACTGGAACTATATTTTACGATCATAGGAAATCGTTTGACGTTATTCCACATAAAATAATACTTGATAAACTAATTTTCTATGGCATAAGTAACAGGCTGTATGAATGGTTTAAATCTTACTTAATTGGTAGACAACATTGTGTTACTATAAACAATCATTGTAGTGAGTATTTAAGTGTTAAATTTGGGGTACCACAAGGGTCAATTCTTGGCCCCTTGATTTTTTGTCTGTATATTAAAGGTACTACAAAGTTTTGGGAAATTTTGAAAATTGGCTCGATAGTGATTCTTTACAATTTTGATATATTTGGATGCCTCTGTGGATGTTTTTATAAGCACTAGAAAATTTAGCCCCTAAAACACTTCTGCTTTCTAGAAAAAATGAGCATAAAAATTTACCGGTACTCCCGGTAAATTTCGATAAATTTCAAATAGCTCCTACGGCTATACAATGGTAGGTGCGACCGTGAAAATCTCAGAATATGTAGATGTGATATATAATTTCCAAACGGGAATAGCGAATCGGTCGATTGTTTTATAGCTAAATTGATATCTTCACCTTGAGAGGGAGCTATACAACATAAAAAGTTTATTATTTACAATTTCATAACTTTAGACTCGATTTCAACCGCGACAATGATCACAGAATATTGTAGGATTGCATATCTTTATAACTTTATTACCTTTAATAATATCAATAATTTAAAATTTCATAATAATTCCAAGATATCACTCTATGCTGACGATATTGTCATTTTTAATAATTCTAATAATTTTTCTGAAGTTCAAGAAAATTTACAGAATAACTTTGATTGAATATGTAAGTGGTTTGATATAACTAAGATGTATATACACCCTCAGAAAACTTTGGTACTGTCCTTTGGATCAAAAAGAAAGGTGGAGAACAATCGTCTCTCAATTAAATTAAATGGTAAAAACTTACAGTGTGTCGAAACAATAAAATACCTAGGAGTTTTACTTTACTCACAATTGATGTGGTCTGAACATATATAAGTACTAAAAAATCGTTCTATTGGATGTGTTCGTCGTATAAAACGCCTAATACCCCCACAAAACTTTAGTAAACCTCTTGTACCCTCTAAATTGGCAATCGGTCGAACAAAGATTAAAATATCACTACTGTTTGTTAGTTTTTAAAATTATAAATGTCATGGCCACAACTTATTTAAAATCACTCTTCGATTATCGCACTTTCAACTACTGTACCCGCTATTCATTGAATTCTCTTTTTGACATCACATCCCATACCCCAAAACCGAATTCAAAAAAATATAATTCTCGTATAAAGCAAGCACCCTGTTTAACAAACTTTCTTTCTGAATTCAATCAACCATATCAATTGAAACATTTAAGCGCAGATGCCGATTGGCTAAGCATTTGTTATAGTATTCAAGTATGTAATTTACCAACTCTTGAGGAGAGGAGATTAGCACTTTGTAGAAAATTCGCAAAATCCGTTTCAAATCACTCTATTTGTCAGACCTGGTTACCTCACAAAACACACTAATATACAGTATCTCTTAGCCGTATTCCTATTTATCAGCAATTTTAATTCAAAACAAAAAGGTTAAAAAACAGCCCACTGTCATTTTTAATTGATATACTCAACAAAAGTTGAAATACTCAACAAAAGTTGGAAATTTACAAAAAAAAAACTTTTTATCGTTATCGCAGGTATACTGAGTGCTTGTCTTCTCCCCCAAGTCGACTATTTTTAATGTATATACCTATTTTTATTCCTTTTACCATGCTTGTATTGACTTTTATGACATAATAGGAAATTTGTAAACAATAACAGCTCATGTTTTTGTTATATTTATGAATTTGGGAATTCCCCTACATAACAAGAATTGGATTGTACAGCCGTTTTGGGCTGATACAGAGTGACAGAACGAGGTGCAATTTAAGCATTGTCATTGATACCTTTGTCTCAAGGAGTTGAATCATATTTCATAAATTGATTTTAATGCAGATACTGTAGATTACAAAATTCCGCTTAATTATATTAATTTAAAACACCATTGGATAAACTGAAATCAGATTTATTTCCCACCTTTGGTTGACCTACAACGATAAGGCACTCACTATGAACACGACTGACAAAGAAAGCGGACAAAATATACAGTTCCTCAGGTAGACAAAGGAACATCCCTTCACTGCTATTATGTAAAAATTGAATATGCATGTGACACCTGATCTACACATTTTTACATAAAAGCAGTGAAGGGATGTTCCTTTGTCTACCTGACGAACTGTATATTTTGTCCGCTTTCTTTGTCAGTCATGTTCATAGTGACTAAAGCATACACCACATTTCTTCCTACAGGTACTCATGTACCTCACCTGGGTTTAGAGTGGCAATGTAGATTAAATGCCTTGCCAAATGACAATAGTGATGTGGCAGGGATTAGGAGTTATCATCAATTCACCATCATTAGGCCATACAAAATATTTTTTTTGGTTGTCCTCGATTGCTTTTCTGGAGTAGGGGCGGGCGGGTGGATTTTTTTTTTTTTTTTTTTTTTTAAACTTCATTTTTTGTGTGTCTTTTTTTTTTTTTTTTCCAATTTTCTTTTTTTTTAAATATTTTTTTTTCCATAAAAAAAAATAATTGGGATTGTCAAGCATTTAAACAAACAAAGTCTATAAAACACTCTAATATGGTAAAAGACTACTTTAATGTACAATGAATATCAAGACCAACACAGAAAGTATTTTGGGCTTTGAAATACAGCACCTTTTAAATCTCCATAGTACTATTTATAGCTACTTGCGCCCTCTATGTAGCAAACAATGCCTAATCGGTGACCATTGGTCCCCCATGCAGATCCTCTTTATCTTATATTAACTAAGAGCTGATTTGATGAGATAACCACCGTTCCATTGACTTTGTAGGGTGGTCTAATCCCTCCTGTAAACTAGAACAGATGGGCTTAAAATGAGTTTAAGAATGGTCAAAACCTGATCTGAATGAACGGCAATTTGATATTTTTACCTAATTGCGTACTGAAAAGACAAAGCATTTTGATCCTTGCAAATGCATAAAATGGTATGTTTGGCATTTAAAATTGCTCCCCCCAAAAAAAAAAATTGAAAAAAAAAAAAAAAAAAAAATGCGAGCGGCCCGAAAATGACGAGCGGGCGGTCGGGGACAACCAAATGATTTTTTTTTTTTGGCCTTATCTTCATCATTTTCTTCATCATCATCATCAGCATCATTATCATTATCATAATTATCATTATTATAATTATCATCAGTATCTTCATCATTAGCATCATCAGCATCATTATCCTTATTTATCATCATTGTTATTATTATAATTATTATCATCATCATTATTATTATTATCATTATTGTTTTTCTCATTGGGCAGTGGGTGGAGACTGGTTTCTCAACTCAATGGAGCTTTGAGAACTTCATCCAGCATCGATCGATGAGACGGGCGCGGGATGTTCGTGATCAGCTCCAGGGACTCATGGGGAGAGTTGAGATGGAGATTGTGAGCTGTGGTATGGATAGTGTTGTTATTAGAAAGGTAAGCTAAAAAGACATTCTTATGTCAATAGTTGAAATTTGTCCCCCACCCCCTCCCCTCCAAAGAAAATTAGAATATTGCAATGAAATGTACTAGTCTGATTTATAGTGGCAATGATAAGATGGTGATGATGATGATGATGATGGTGATAACACCATGTATGATAAGGATGATTTGATGATGATAATGATGAGAAGGAGGAATATGTTGATGATAATGGTGGTGAAAATGATGATGTTAATGGTGCTTGTAGTGATAGTAATAATGATAATGATAGTGATAATGATAGTGATGACGATGGTAATGATGATGACATTGATGAAGACAATGATTATCATGATGACAGTGATGGCGATGATGATGATAATTACATCTTAATAATCATTCAAATGAAAATAAAACAATTCATGTAGATATCGTAATAATGAGGAAATATTCCTATTGAATGCAAAAGTAATAACTATCTTCCCTACCTTTGAATGAATAATTCAGGCTGTAACTGCTGGTTTCTTCTACCATACTGCACGCTTCAGTAAGGGAGGTAACTACAAGACAGTCAAGCACCAGCAGACAGTCATGGTTCATCCCAATAGCGGTCTGTTTGAAGAACAACCAAGATGGCTCATCTACCATAAACTTGTCTTTACAACCAAGGAGTTCATGAGACAGGTATAACAATTTAAATTAATTTTTCCCCTTCTACTTTCATTTCTGCTGCGCCTCCTGAAGGTTTCTGGGTGAAAAAAAGGAATGTGGAATTCTTACAACCCTTGGGCCTTTCCCAAGACTACTAGTATACGAAATGTAGTATGGGTGCCTAGAACATAACGTAACATGTATGTGAATAAAAATGAGTAAGTCTGAAATATGCATTAAGTACAAAGGCATGATAGACAGTTGCGCTAGAAGTCTTGGCCATTTGCAGAGGCACTTGATCTTGTATATTAAAGTTGCTCAAGCGTGGGTATATAGAGGGCAGTACACGGACGTATGACGGGAGCGTAATACCCAATGGCTCAGTGTTAAGTAGTGAACGGGAGTGATCTCCCAGTTGCCTACTTCACGACCGACTTTGTACCCTCGCTTGAGCAACTTTAAACATTTATTTTTCTTTAGTCAGGATCTGATATACTTTTTCTAATCCTCCCCTCATATTCCACGATGTAGGTGATAGAGATAGAGAACGGTTGGTTGCTAGAGGCTGCTCCACACTACTACAAGGCCAAGGAACTGGAGGACGCATCAAGCAAGAAGATGCCGAAGGGTGTAGACAAGTCGGCCGGTAGCGTTGAGATGGGACTCACTTGGAACAAACTATAAGGACAAACTTATTCCAGATTATGTGCCTTTCTCTTGACTCTCTTTGAGTCAAACATCGTCTTAGGATCAATTGTGAGTAATGAGTCCTGGCCCTCAACTTTTGAGACTAGACCTTCCTTTAGAACTAATAGCAGGACATCTGCTATTCCAAAATCTAGAGAGAATCCGCCTTTGTCTTGTCATCTTGAGGATCATAACGAGTGATTTGCGCTGCCCTCATTTTGTAGGAATGCACCAGATTTTACCCCAGAACAGGTTTCCCCTTCTGGTAAGAATACTTTTGTGAAGGATTATCAAAGCAGTTTCACATTGTATTGAAGGTGTAACTGCAGCCAATCAATAACGACAAGTTAACAAGGTTTTTACGGGAGTGTTCTTTTATTCTTTGGTAGGAGCGTAGCTTCCTTTCTTTGACTCCTTTCTTTTAACTCTGTTCTTTTCACTCCGTGAAAACTGTGAGAAAACAAACAACAAAAATGGGCATTAATTAAAATGCAATAATAATTACAGGTTCCTTATCCATGTAATAATTACAGGTTTCTTAATACAAATTTGGGCGTGACCCATAGGCATTATACCAAACCTTGCCATTTACTTAACCTTACTATTTCTTTGTGTTTCCTGAATAGTCTTCACACTTCTTTAAATTAATACAACTTAAGTTCTTATACACAGATTCATCAACATAAATTCCTATACATGGGCACCTGCCTCAAAGTTATGGCATAAATATCATAATTATACACATATTTCCCACAACCGAAACACTGCAAGCTTAAGTACTGACCTTCTTGCCTCCTTTTAGTCAATTAACTTGTCTGCAGCTAAGAATATGTTGCAATTAATCATCAATTTCTCATTGTTCTTCATTGATCATTGTTTGACTTTGAAACTCTGTCTATAAAAGTCTGTCGCCGAAGATGGCGCTCTAACCTTTTGGTCGACTAAATCAAATACACTTACATGGCTCCTTTAAATTAGTACAACTAATTTACCATAATAAACTATTTGACATACCTGCGATAATTCTTACTTGTTCTACAGAACTAACATTTCTAACTTTGTATATATACCAAGCACATCTAGAAGTAAATGTAATGCATCTAGCTGTACTCACTAGCTGCATGTACTAGCTTCAATCTATAAGTTTAACTGGTTTTACAACTTATAATGTTCAATTCTAATCCCTTTATAACAGACGTTCAGAGATCAAGAATCTAAACTAATGCATAAATTTGTCTCTGTAACCAAAACACCATCCATGTATAGTAATACATGACTTCAAATTTTGTTTCAAATTAGTCTTAGCCCTTAATCTTAAAAATTATTTTATGCATGTATAATTTTTGTTAAATAACATTAACTGCTTAGTCTTGCATCAGACACATAGATATGGTTTAATGAGCATCAACCTTATGTCTACAATTCAATTTGCAAACAAATGAAATGTCACAAAGTTACAAGTCTGACTTCAGACCCTAGTAAGTTTACACTGAAATGAATAATCTTAAATAGTCTCACTTGACTCTTAGATGTAGTTTTCATCTCAGACACAGATATACCTTTACTAACGAGGGAATAGTTTTATATTCCAAGTTGACCCTTTTCAGAAAATAAAGCATGTTTAACCTTAAACATTTCAATTTAGTCTTACATCCAGACTCTAGCATTATGATCAAACCAGTATACATATACATAAAACAAAGCGGCATTTAGAAAATTGAAGGTATTCTCCCTTTCAGACTTTAGAATTTTGGTTGAAATCACATTTATCAAACACAATGTCTGCGAAAATTCAAATTATTTTCAAGTTCAGACACAATAAACAATATCAAATGATAACATAAATTAGTCTTAATTCAGACCCCTTGGCTCCTTGTTATCCAATGCCAGGCTCAATCTCTAGACATGGCGATTTGGACATAACAATTATTACTTTAGGTTAATTAAGTTAAACCCCCTAGCCTCGTGGCTCCTTGTCAACCAAGTTCAACCCCCTAGCCTTGTGGCTCCTTGTCAACCAAGTTCAACCCCCTAGCCTTGTGGCTCCTTGTCAGGGAATTTCCCCTGGTCTTCATGCGCGACTAACAAGATAAGCTTATGTATTGGTCGTTCAAAATAACGTTGTTGGAAGATTCGCTTCCCGCGACTGTTTATCTTGGGGTCACCCATCACCAATTTAACCTTACGCACATGATTGTCCGAGGATGGGTAAACATCAACTACTCTGGCTAGCGTCCATTGGTTTCTTGGATTGTCGTCTTTCATTATTACGACATCACCTATACGGGTTTCACGCTGTGGGCAAGTCCATTTCTGACGTGATTGGAGACTCTGGAGAAACTCTCGCTTCCAACGCTTCCAGAATTCGTTCGCGAGATGCTGAACTCTCCTCCATCTTTTCCTAGAGTACAAGTCCTCTCGTTGGAAGTGTCCTGGAGGCGGCAACAGCACGTTGGTTTTCATCGTCAGAAGATGATTCGGTGTCAGGGGCTCAGGATGTGTAGGGTCATCCAAATTGTCATACAGCAATGTTTCTAGCACACGACGTATACTGCGTATTTGTCTTTCCCATACACCTCCCATGTGACTAGCCGAAGGGACATTGAATTTGAAGTGAATATAATCACAGTCTTTCCTCAGAAGAAATTCCTGAATCTTGTCCTGGTGTGTATTACTACCTTCTCCTAGCTCAGCTTCAGCCCCGATGAAGTTAGTGCCTCTATCTGAACGAAGCTGGCGCACAGGACCTCTAATGGATAGGAATCGTCGAAGAGCGTTGATGAAAGATTCGGTTGTCATCGAATTTAGTGTCTCAATGTGCACAGCCCTAGAAACCATACAACTGAAGAGGAGGCCGTACCTTTTCAGTTCCTTTCGGCCTTCTTTGATTACCCATGGACCAAACACGTCCATACAGCTGTATGTGAAGGGTGGTGTAGGCTCAACTCTGTCCTTAGGCAGGTTTGACATCTTCTGCCATTGAGATTCGCCACGTAGCCTACGACATGTGACACACTTCCTTATGAGTCTAGAGACTGTTGAGCTCCCAGATAAGACCCAGAAGCCGCTGGACCTCAGTTGGTTGGTGGTCATACCTCGTCCCTGGTGAGCTGTCTGAATGTGACAATGTCGTATTATCAACTCTGTAATATGGTGGTCCTGAGGTAGAATAGCTGGATGCTTACTTTCATAGGAACCTTCAGCACAACTTAGGCGTCCACCTACTCTCAGTATCCCATCAGCGTCGATGAAAGGGTCAAGACGATGAAAGCGACTATACCCTTGCTGCTTACGCCTGTGTCTCTTGTTTGCATTCATCTCACTACCTTTACCAGACTGGTTCTGTATAGCTGTCAGTTCATTACTGAATGCATCTCTCTGTACGGTCTTCAGGATTTCACATTGTGCTATGTTGAGTTCCTTTGTAGTAAGCTTCTGTAGCTCACCATGGAATGAAGTCTTTCCAGTGGTGGAGGACTTGCTCAGACCTCGCTCTTGACATCGCCTTCTCAAATGCGCCTTCAGTCTCATGCAGTTTGCTACTGCCCTTTTAGCTCTGTGCCAAGAGGAAAACCTGTCCAAACGATCGATCTCAAAGGTACAAGGCTTAGAGTGACCATGTACAACGTTTGCATGAGCTTTCTTCACTTCTGGATCATCCAACTTCACGTCAAACTTATCACCTTGAATGAACTTCTCTGCGTTGCTCTCCCACAGGAACTTTGGGCCAGTAAACCAAAAGGAAGACAGGAGTTGGTTGACTGTAGCTCCTCGAGAAGCAATATCAGCTGGGTTATCCTGTGTACCCACATGTCTCCATTGTGAGGGGGAAGAGTGTTGTCTAATCTGATGCACACGGTTGGCAACAAAGACATGAAAGCGCTTCGAGTCGTTACTAACGTAGCCCATTACTACATTGCTGTCCGTCCAGTAGAACTCTTCAGTGTCTGAGGGTACAAACTCTCTCTGAAGAAATGCACTGACTCTAACTGAAACAACTGCAGCTGTCAGCTCCAGACGTGGTACAGTGATTGGTTTGAGAGGTACAACTCTGGCCTTCCCCATCAGGAGTGTACAATGCACCTTTCCTTCATCACTAGTCAGCCTTAGATATGTGCACTCGCCATAACCAGTAGTACTGGCATCAGAAAAGTGATGAAGTTGCGTTGTCTTTACTTCTCCGAAATGTGCAGGCTTGTAGCATCTTTGTATGGAGATTGAGTCCAGATTATTCAAATCAGCTCTCCATTTCTCCCAGCTGCTTCTCTGTTCATCAGGCAGTTGATCATCCCAGTCTACTGCTTTCCTGCATAGTTCTTGCAAGATCTGTTTTCCTCGCAGTACAACTGGCGCCAGCAGGCCCAATGGATCGTAGATTGACATAACTGTGGCTAAGACTCCTCTTCTCGTCAGGGGTTTGTCATGTAGAGTGAGCCTGAACTTAAGTGTGTCGGACTCAACACACCATAGAACTCCCAGAGCCTTTTCCATGGGTGAATCAACTCCCAGAAGATCTGTCTTGGAGACTCCCTTCGCTCTATCAGGCTCCGGAACAGATTCCATTACTTCTCTGCGGTTAGATATGAACTTGTGTAGATGCAATCCGCTTTTCTTACACAGTTGTCTTGTTCTCGAAACTAGGTCGATAGCGCCCTTTGTAGAAGGAACGGATTTCAATCCATCGTCCACATAGAAATCCCGATGGATGAAGTCCTTCACATCATTTCCAAATTCGGCTGCGTGATCAGTAGCTGTCTGCTTCAAGCAAAAATTGGAGCAGCCTGGGGAGGAAGATGCGCCAAACAAATGGACAGTCATACGCAGCTCAATGGGTTCTCGAAGAATATCTCCGTCTTTCCACCACAAATATCTCAAGTAGTCACGGTGGTCTTCTCTCACCTTGAATTGGTGAAACATTTCCTTTATGTCGCAACTGAATGCAATCTCGTCTCTCCTGAATCTGCAGAGTACGCCTACGAGAGCATTTGTCAGGTCTGGTCCAGTGAGAAGATAATCGTTAAGGGATTCCCCCTTGTACTGTGCACTGCAGTCGTATACGACCCGAAGTTTGTTGGGCTGTATAACACCATGGTGGGGAATATACCAGACTGGACTATCAGCTGTCTTGATTTCTGGTGCTAATTCTGCGTACCCTTTCTCTAAGAGTGCTTCCATCTTCTCTGTGTATCTACGGTGGTAGTTTGAATCTCTTTCAAACTTTCGTTTGAGATGTTGTAGTCTCTTGTCTGCCATACACCTGTTGTTTGGCAGATCTGGTTCCTTTTCCCTGAAGGGAAGTGGAGTTTCGTAATGTCCATCTTCTGTTAAGCGAACATTATTCTTCATGATGTTCATGAATCTGACATCATTATGTGAGGAAGGTTCGCTGTTGTCTCTTAGGTCCGAGAAGTCTGCTTCCATTATCCTCAGCACCGATGAAGGACTTATCTCTTCCTTGATGGTGACGTTGTGTGAGAACATCACCTTTTCCTTGGTTGCAGTTTTGCTTTCAGTCAGCTCAGGGAGTATCTCACAGGTGATTAATCGATGACTGAACCCTATTCTGTCGTCAGGGCTGACAGCAAACTCCTTCTGACTTGATATACCCACAACACACCAACCTAGATCTGTCTTCATCCCAAAGGGTCCATCATCATCATCAGGAGAAAGAATTATGCTGCGAGGAATTAGAGCACGTGCACAATCATATCCGATCAGCAATCCTACCTCACAGTCTTGTAGTGGTAGCAGTTCTTCTGCAATTTCAGTCAGGTGAGGAAAGGACATAGCCACTTCAGGCACTGGAATATACTCCCTATTTGCAGGCATGATGTCTCGTGTATAGACTGCAGGGAGATCAATCGTCTTCATACTGTTGTGAGCACGAACCGTGAGTCCTTGAATTTTCTCACTAGGGATCCTCTCATCCTTCTTGGACATAGTAGAAAGAAGAAGATTCACCCTTGAACCTTGTAGGTTCATGGCTTCCTTGGTAGATTCCAGCAAGAATGTGGTGTCCGACTGAGTGTCCAATAATGCATATATCAGCCTTTCATCAATTCTGCCCTTCTGTGATATCCAGACTGGAACAACTGCTGAACACTTTACAGCCTGTTTCTTCAAGGTCATGTGGTTTACTGTTGTGTGAGAACTCGTTGACCGGAGTTCTTCTGTTGCGTTAGAACTTTCATGATCAGAAGATTGGAACTCCATTCTCACATCAACTCTCTCTTGTGGCTTACTCCGATTCCAGTCTTCATGAAGAGAAGTGGGATGTCGCCGTTTGCAGACACTGCATGTGTCTCTCCTTTTGCAATCTCTTGATGTGTGTCCTTTTATGAGACAACCATAACACAATCCATTGTCTCGTACGTAGGTCTTTCGCTCCTTCAAAGTCATTGAAAGGAACCTTTTACAAACTCCTAGTTGGTGGTGTTCCTTACAGAGCACACATACATACTCCTGCTTCTTTCCCGTTCTTGGATGCTGAGGGCGTTGATCTGTCGAGGCATACATGGATGTTGCACCCGGAATCGTCCGCTGCTTGTCTACCTTCAGCTCCTTTACACTATACAAAGAGGTAATTGGGTCGCATGCGATATTGGCCTCCTCCTCAATGAAGTCACTGAACTCATGAAATGATGGGAAATTTCCATGAGTTTTCTTCCAATGAGCAACTTTCCTACCCCAACTCACAATCAGGTGGTCTGGGAGTTTAGCCAAGATCTTCCTATTTTCCCTCTCATCATTCAATTGAGCCAGATTTCCGATGGTTGTCATTGCTGTACAGCACTGTTTCACGAAGTCAGACAGCATTCGAAGACCTTGGCCATCTCTGTTGCTGATTCTGGGCCAAGAGTCCAATTTATCCCTGTAGGCGCTAGATAGGACAAAGGGATCTCCGTACCTCCTTTCTAGGGCCATCTTCGCTGCAGCATAAGAGTTGGTATCACCTAGCAATGCGTATCCTTGTACCAGTTGCAAGGGTTGGCCCTTTATGTACTTCAGAAGATAATAGAACTTATCTGCTGCGTTTATCTCTCTTCTTTCTATTAGGAGGTCGTAGCTTCTTTTCCAAGTTGGATATTGGAGGGGACTTCCATCGAACTGAGTGGGCTCTGGAGGGGGCAGGTGACTTATTCTCATCTGGTCCACTAAACTCGCTGCTAACGAGTTTCCTGTTTCAATGTCCTGAGCTCTTGGGTTAATCTTCTCCATCGTAGGTGGGTCATCTTTTGGTTCGGCGTTGACCCACTCTTCACAATCATTCTGTCGTTTTGGAGAAGGTTTAGAGGAGTGTCTGGATGACGTCGATTGGGTTACAGAGCCTCCTTGTAGAACCTTCACTCTTTCGTGGGTTTGTTTCATCAGCTCTGCATGCTGCTCCTCCACCTCTTCAATCTTGTCGAAGCTGTCATCATGCAATTTTAAGGACACCTTAATCTTGCTGAGAGAATCCTGAACTACCGTTGCCTTGTCCATAGCAGCTTGGACTTCATCTCTCTGTTGCTTGATAACCAATACGAGTTCTTCATCACTTAAAGCAGCTCTCAACTTATTGGCCGCTTGACGCCAACCTCTTAATGAATAACGAAACTCCAGTTCACGTTGGTCGTTTTGGTGCTTGAGTCCAAGTTCGGTTGGCTTCGGGTCGGATCTCGTTCGCTTAGCCTCTTCTTCCTCTGGCATCTTGTCGACAGTGAACAGTAACCAATCTTAGAGCCAGAAGTTTTCACTGTAACTGCAGCCAATCAATAACGACAAGTTAACAAGGTTTTTACGGGAGTGTTCTTTTATTCTTTGGTAGGAGCGTAGCTTCCTTTCTTTGACTCCTTTCTTTTAACTCTGTTCTTTTCACTCCGTGAAAACTGTGAGAAAACAAACAACAAAAATGGGCATTAATTAAAATGCAATAATAATTACAGGTTCCTTATCCATGTAATAATTACAGGTTTCTTAATACAAATTTGGGCGTGACCCATAGGCATTATACCAAACCTTGCCATTTACTTAACCTTACTATTTCTTTGTGTTTCCTGAATAGTCTTCACACTTCTTTAAATTAATACAACTTAAGTTCTTATACACAGATTCATCAACATAAATTCTTATACATGGGCACCTGCCTCAAAGTTATGGCATAAATATCATAATTATACACATATTTCCCACAACCGAAACACTGCAAGCTTAAGTACTGACCTTCTTGCCTCCTTTTAGTCAATTAACTTGTCTGCAGCTAAGAATATGTTGCAATTAATCATCAATTTCTCATTGTTCTTCATTGATCATTGTTTGACTTTGAAACTCTGTCTATAAAAGTCTGTCGCCGAAGATGGCGCTCTAACCTTTTGGTCGACTAAATCAAATACACTTACAGAAGGTGATAGCTCACTATAAAGCTCATGTATAGTGCATTCCTGCATCTACTGCTTGCCGTCACTTCTTGAGGATGTGCTATACAGTCCTCTTTTAGAACAAATAGCAGAATTCTTCCAGTTCTTACCAGATCATTACTTTCTTTTAAAGAATGGTAAAGAATATTCCAGGAATGGTTGCCTTGGTAACCTGAAGCTGATCTACGATGTGTATCTCCATTTGGCAGGGATGTACTGAAACCCATTCCACCAGGGAATTATTCCCAGTTCTAGAATGACTAGTGTTTATGTGATGGATAATAGTCGGTATAGAAGAAACATGTGTCAAAGAAGATGCTTGGGACAGTCTCCAAGGTAACCAGAAGCTGTCCAAAGATGCATGCCACCTTCTGGTAAGGTTCCAAGAAAAACTCAAACTCCAACAAACATCAGAACATCATAAATCCCAGTTCTTGACGAATTACCTTGTATGTGAACTTTCAAAATTGGCACGGAGGATAGATATGACAGAAAATGTGCATGAGACAGTTGGCTCGGTTACTAGAAGCTCATCTCAAACATGCCCCTTGAGTCCAGTACAGTCAACAAGACCCTGGCGAATAGTGATTGAATTTATACCAGATTCTGTGACAACTCCCAACCTTTTCAGTTATATTCATTTGATACCTATGCATTCAATATTATTGAAAAAGCCAGTTGTTCTTGTGAGGGTTAATACTTCAGACTTAAGTGGATCAGGCATTGCCGTTTATATGTACATTTATGTACTGTTATATAAATGAAATAAAACTATTTAAAACTTTATTCTGTTCACTTTGTCATATTTGAATATATATTTGTTTTCTTCTTCAAAATACATTTACACTGCAAATTATGATGACCTGAATGGCACGATACATGCAGGCGCGGATCCAGGATTTTTTAGGGGGGGGGGGGCCGAATCTGAAATAATGCGAGGTAAATATTGGTACGTAATGGTGACCATGCAGCAGTTGCGTAATGAGCAATAACGTTTGGGGGGGGGGGCAGACAAAAAAAAATCAGCATCACCCCACTCTTACATGCAGGCCCATATGAACTTTTTTCAAAGTGGTAGGGGGAGCATAAAGTATTTACGATCGTAGAGCGTAGCCTAAATTGGCGTAAGGTCTAGGGGCATAGCCCCCAGAAGCTCAGGAGGTATGGGCATTTAATTACGGCCAGATCTTGATAACTTAATCATGACACTGGCATATCTTGATAACTTAATCATGACACTGGCAGGTCACTATTATGGTCAGATAAGCATTCAGGGGCCCGCCTTAGGCCCCCTGTTGGGGTCGAGGCGGTGGAGCCCCCGGAAGCTCAGGGGTTTTAGGCATTTAATTAAGGTCAGATAAGCATATTTTGATACCTTATTTGTAACACTGGTAGGTCACTAACTAGTGTGGGGTCCAGGGGCCTGAGCTCCCGGACGCTTGGGTTTTTTAGGCATAACATTACAGGCAGATGAGCATCTAGGGACCAGCCTTGGGGCTCTAAGTGAGGTCCAGGGGGTAGAGCCCCCGGAAGCTTGGGGTTTTTGGTGTTTAATTACGGTCAGAAGAACATTTTTTTTGTTATACCTTAATTATTTGTGAAACTGGCAAGACAGACATTGGCGTAGGGTTCATGGGGCGGAGCCTGCAGAAGCTCAGGGGTTTTAGGCATTTAATTAAGGTCAGATAAGCATAGTTTGATACCTTATTTGTAACACTGGTAGGTCACTAACTAGCGTGGGGTCCAGGGGCCTGTGCCCCCGGACGCTTGGGGTTTTTAGGCATAACATTACAGTCAGTTGAGCATCTAGGGACCAGCCTTGGGGCTCTAGGTGAGGTCCAGGGGGTAGAGCACCCGGAAGCTCGGGGTTTTTGGTGTTTAATTACGGTCGGAAGAACATTTTTTTTGTTATACCTTAATTATTTGTGACACGGGCAAGACACTCATTGGCGTGGAGCCCCCAGAAGCTCAGGGGTTTTAGGCAATAAATCGCCGTCAGATGAGCATCCACAGGCCCGCCTTTGGGCCCTAGGTTGGAATCAAGGGGGCAGAGCCCCCAGAAGCTCAGGTTTTTTTCTTACTTTCCCTCTTTCTTTCTATTTCTCTTTAATACATTGAATATGGGGACATTGCATATTGTATTGTTAATTGTATTGCATTTGGTAGCTGATGACGTAATACATTGGATGTGGGGACATGACATCTTGAACGTGTATCGTATCTGATAGCTGATGACTTGGTACATGTGATATGGGGACATTGCATATTGAATGTGTTTGTATTGCATTTGATAGCTGATTACTCGGTAGATTGGATGCGGGGACATGGCATATTGAATGTGTTTGTATTGCATTTAATAGCGGATGACTTGAAACATTGGATGTGGGGATATGGCATCTTGAATGTGTATTGTATTTGATACCTGATGACTTGGTACATTGGATGTGGGGACATGGTACATTGGATGTGTTTGTATTGCATTTAAACGCTGATGACTTGATACATTGGATCTGGGGACATGGCATATTGAATGTGTTTGTATTGCATTTAATAGCGGATGACTTGAAACATTGGATGTGGGGATATGGCATCTTGAATGTGTATTGCATGTAATAGCTGATGACTTGATACATTAGGGTTGGGGATATCGCATATTGAATGTGTCTGTATTGATGACTTGGTAGTTTGGATGTGGGGACATGGCATATTGAATGTGTACTTTTTATTTAATTTAAGTGGCTGATGACTCGGTAGATTGGAAATGGCACAGTGATCGTGTTTATATTACATTCGATAGGTAGTGACTTGGTAGCTTGAATGTGGGGACATGTAATGTGGGGACATTGCACATCAATGCGTTTTTATTGCATTTGATAGCTGATGACTTATTGATACAGTGGATGTGGGGACATGACACCTTGAATGTGTATTGTATTTGATAGCTGTTGACTACCACTGGACATGTAATGTGTGTGTAATAGGATTTGAGTCACTTTATCACTTGGCTGCCGGCCTAGCTTGTCTTGTCTACTTTTGTCAAGCTCTCTCTCCTTAATTCTTTCTCTCCCCGCCCCCCCCATTAATACCTTCATTTTATTCAGGTACAAGTGTTCAAAAGAGATTATCAGCATCGCCACTGTGCTGTTGGACAACAATTGCCGTCTTCTACCGACCGAAAGACAAGATAGTCCACGCCGATAACGCAAGGGTGAACTCCTTTACTCGACCAGGCGGTGATCATCTCACATTATGCTCAATATCTACATTGAGGTTAGAGAATGATATGCTTCTCTATTCTTATAATGTTGAGAACAACCATATGAATATGAAAAGGTGGTTCAAAGGTTAAAGGCCAATGGTACATTGAAATCACTAGATTAGTCCATATATGGAGTGAATAGAATTTTGGGGGTGATTGTAAACAAAATCTGAAAATGTGCGTGGTGAGAGTGTTTTCCCAAGGAATGATGCAGACCATATTCATTTTATATTTATAATGAATGAAAGAAATTACCCAAAATTCTGGATCATTTTTGCACGGAAAATTATATCAAAAACACTTTCTCAACTTTTATTTATGTTCACCCCATATTTTTGTATTTACCATGTGTTACAGTAGTTTGGTTAACACAATTTTTTAATGAATCATTTAAACAGTAAACTGAATTTGAGTCTTGTACGCACCATTGTAAGGAGATGAAATTAAGTTTTTGCACAAAGGTTCAAAGGTCACAGTTTAAAGACCTTAATTTAACACAAAAATGATGAGTATCATGATAGAGCATTTGATCTGATTTTTTTCCCTTAAAATGTTGTCCCAGATTGCATAGAAGAGCGCTTTCGCAAACACGACGGAAAGCAAAGACGATGGTAACGCGAGCGAAAAAAATCAATTTGTGCATGCGTGAACCAGAATTTTCTCCATCACGTTGATTTTCACGACCATTCTTTGCCATAATAGCGTTCGTTCCCTAAACACGACGGAAGAGCTGTATCGCCATGCAATCATGATATAGATATCATATGATCGTATATATCAACTCTACTTTGTGTTCGACTATCCAATTTTTAACGTATTAATTATTGCCTACACTTTTTCTGACACATCTTCAACGTTCCCGTCCCCGGTACCGAAACAGGTTACAATGAAGACAGGAGCATAGTACAGGACGATCTCGGTTGAGTGAATTCTCCCGTCGTCTTTGTTTCCGTCGTCTTTGCGAAGCGCTCTAGTAACAGAGAGTTGAGTTGTACTACCCTTATACAAAAGTACCAGGGTACCCATGGTAAAACCATGGTAAAACCATGGTTAATAGATGGTACCTATGGTACTTGTTGTTTCTTCTTGTGTTACCATGATAGTACCATGATAGAACCATAGTTATACTCTCCAACTAGTCATATTAATAGTGTACCAATTTACAGATTGTGCAACAGCTAATTGACAAGCGACAGAACGTCTGCAATATCGATCAAGACTATACAAGCCCCCAACCTGGCTATACAATTCATAACACAGCTCAAAATGCAGATTTGCATTTTAATGACTAAACTTAATGAATAAACTGTAATGACTAAACTGTACTAGGGGTTAAGGTCAATATGTCAAAGGTCATGGAAGCATAAAAAAAACCATACATAAACTGTGCTTCGATCCAATTTATTGATATATAAAAAACAGATAATTACATTTTACACAAGTAATGATGCAATGTGACATCAAGTTTTTTAGGAATGAATTTATTGTAGATTTAAAATTCTAATAAAGTGTACCAATAGAACTTTCTTATCTTAGTACAAGCTTAAATGTTATTCCCATAAAACTTGGTGCAAATGTGCCGATCATAATAGTATATATACATACATTGAGAAAAATGAATGAAAACAATTTTTTTTAAGAACTGCTCATATGACCTTGCCAAAGTACTCAAGTGGGTCGAGATTCACAAAGATGACCTGACCATTGCTACAGCGACAGTTGCTCCGAGCTTTCTTTTGCCAAAGATCTAGGTTTAAGGTTACAATTGGGATTCACCAGAGCATGTATCATACAGCCTCCATAAGAAATATCAACTGAATGATATAACCAGTAAAATCGATAAAAGCGTTTGCTAATCATCTATAAAAAATTAAGAATGATATTTAATCATAACACATTCATTCTACATATTCAAAAATACTTAGACAGCTCTTCTTTTGTTAAGATTTGCACAGTAATAACTTTTTTCAAAGAACTAAGTATTTCTTTATTGCAACCAAAACTTGGGGTATTAATGATTGTTCATGAGTACAACATGTCAATAATTGTATTTAACATCCAAAGTAATTATGGTAGGTATGTCTATGAATTGAGCAGTTTAAAATGGAATTGATAATAATAATAAGGGACAACATAGAAATCACAGGTCACCAACATTAAATAGATTCAGAATGGAGTTGTGAGTGACGGCATCATGTATCGTATGTTGAGAGGCAGAAGAGCGTTAACTCTTATTCATTACATAGACCCAACACCCTCCCAGCTAACAGACTATGTCATATGTCCTTTGGCAAGACATTGATCTACATTTGCCACTCTCCACCCAGGTGTTAAAATGGGTACCCGGTAGGATGCGAAAGCTAATGTGGTTTGATTAGCAAGTGGCGCTTGTAAAATGGCGACTGGCTGGAATGCTCCCCAGGGAGTGGAGAATGTGCATACCTTGTGTGCGGGTAAGCCTGGATCCGATGACCAGGGTAATAATATGTTCCGCGCCTAGAAACGTAGTATTAGGCGCATTATAAATGTGAGCTATTATTATTATAGAAATCTTAATGAAATCAAATTAAAAAATAAAACAAACTGAGCCTAGAGTACGTAGTATGATTCCGGATCTGGGCCCTGTTGCACAAAACTTACCATTGATGGTAACTTTGACATCAATGGCAACTACCATGGTAACCTTGATTTTGATTGGCTGTTAATAAGCCCTGTTACCGTTTTAGTTGCCATTTATGGCAAAAATACCATCAATGGTAAGTTTTATGCAACAAAGCCCAGGTTTACAAGTAATAGTACTTAAGGGAAGTGAAAACTTTAGGAAATATTCAATTATAGCAATCTACATATACATCCTTTACATTCCATAACATCCTTTACATTCCATAACATAGTCTAAAAATGCACTGTATTACATTTCCACTACTTAGTAGTTGTAGATATTATGATAAATTTAAAGATACTAGGTAAGACATTGATGCTACAATATTTAAAAAAATGCTTGACAGCTCTTATATTGTTAAAATATGTATATATTTACAATCTTTACCATTTGTACAGTATTCTGTGTGCTCTATCATGCCTCCATTATGACATGTTGTAGTTGTACAAATTCTCCAAATTCTAAAAGGCTATCAAACACCTCTCCGGTTGTTTAAACATTCAGAATCCATGAGTTATAGTTTATTTGACATCCCAACACAAAGACAGAAATGTAAATTTGACAAGATACAGAGAATGAATAATATATGTACAGTTTAATGACTAAGTGTGTGAAAATTGATTTGTCCTAAATATCCTAATTTAGGTTACTTGAGAATATGACATATGAAAGCTTACATCTATAAGCATTCAACAAAGGCCCTAATTCAACTAGTCCAGTTCTATTCTTGATTTTCAATAAAAATATTTATAAAAAAAAAAAATTATGTACAGTTACAAATTGCAGCAGCTTTAATTGTTTACATTTTTCAGAATCCATATGACATTCTAAATGTGTACATTTAACATACATCATTTCATAAAGAATATAGATCCTCATTTTTTCTTCTAAAGTTTGGTAGGTATGTGCAATGTAGCACTATGCCTCTATTACAAAATCCGTGTAGTCATTATTGTGACCTTTCTGCTATTTTGAAAGTTAGTTTTCTTCTTGCACTCATCGGAAGTAAATCGCAAGAATGACCAGAAAGCCCAAATCGGACAATAGAAACAGAAGCTAATGGAAAAGAGCGTGCACAAAAATACCAAGCTAAGACTGGGTGCCGGGAATCATAAGAAAGTAGAGGTAATTAATGCCAGCCATTCAATGGAAATGGGCAGCAGCAAAGAAAAATAAACAAAAAAGTCACATCGCAAGTGCAACTTTCCTTGTTTTCTGGTCTGATTCAAGCTGAAGTAGGGGGTATCACCTTGATAGAATCATCTGATGTACTGCAAATGTTGATGTTATGGGTTACGTAAGGGACAAAATACCTTGGACTTCAATACATATAAAGGACAAGGGAACTGCAAATGTGGATTGTAGAGGCACACACATTGACTGTAACACATGTAGTTCTCGGCCCTTTGCCGGTTATCATATTTGCCAATATTATTTTGGAGGTTTTTAATGTTTGTTGGATGACAATTAGTTTGCCTTGCTGTGAATGGTAACGGTCGGTCAAACAGGAATAACACTATTGATCACCCTGTTGGCTCTCATGCTCTTTTCAAACTGGGCCCAGAAGAGTTCCTGACCATCTTCATCCTCCGTCCACAGCATGTAGGGTTTGTTCTTACTCATGAACAACCGGACCAGGTACGGAAGGTCATCATCATCGATGTCCTCAAGGAAAACCAGTATGACCTTGTCCAGTCTGGTGTCATTGAGGTGCTCTAGGGCTATGCGTAGCTTGGTCATAAACCAGGCCTCATCCACAGAGTTGTTGCTTATTAAGAGGACAGTCTTGAAGCTGTTCTCAACGACGTAGTGGAGAGCTGGGATGTAGAACATCTCGATGTTGAGGTTGTCATCGCCAAAGGCCACTTTCTGGAGATGTGGAAACCTCTCCTGCAGAACTGGCTTCATGATCTGGTCCACCCATTCCTGGTCATCCTCATCGTACATCAGGTTGAGCTGGTACTCGTAGTCCTCGGCATCAAAGTCTTGGTTGATTTCCTCGTAGCCAAATATGGCTAGTTTTAGGAGGAAGAGCTTGTAGTTGAGCCACCAACGTTTCCGATATGCCACCAAGCACAGGATGGCTACTAGAACAGCAGAGAGGGACACACCTGTGGTGATGAGGATATTAATGCCACAGTATTGATCAGGATGGAATGAAAGGATTGGCGATTGCACCATGTCTTTGATGGAAGAGAGTGAGCAAAGTGTGTCATCAGGATGGATGAGTTCGACATTGCCTGAACGTAGCCACCCCACAAACCAACTCAAGTCGCATGTACAGGAGAAAGGGTTCCCTGATGCGTGTATTCTCATCGTCTTGTTTGTAGGAAACACTGTTCCAGGTTCTATCGTGATGATTCTGTTGCGTTCCATGTATAGGTGGTGCAGAGATATGGTTCTATTGAATAGAGTCTTAGGAATCGAATCAAGTCTGTTATTGGTTATGTAGAGGAATCCAAGCCTGGACTGACTTTGAAATAAGTCTCCAGGAAGTGCCGAGATCTCATTGTCATAAAGATCCAATTTTGTGAGAGAAGTCAGACTGTCAAATACACTGGGAATTAGGACTTTAATAGATGACTGAGAGAGGAGCAGTATTTCGAGACTCTTCAGGGGGTTGAAAGTTCCTGGTGCTAACATATCTAGGTGATTTTCTTTTAAGTCCAGTCTGACCAACGATCGAAGTCCCCAAAAGGATGATTTAGAGGTCATATTATTAAATAAATCTGTGCTCGTCAATCGGTTTTCACGCATAACCAGTTTGACAAGAGATGTAGCATTTGTAAATTGGGGTTTGGCTTGAATTGCCAACCCTGAAAATGATAGATCCAATATGCAAAGAACATCCATGTTGCGAAAAGCTCCGTTCATGACTTGGTGAGGTTCATTGGTGAGGTAAAGCTCTTTGAGGTTCTTTAGATTCGTGAAGGCATTTGCAGAATACCCACCTTGAATATCATTGTGAGACATGTTTAGTATTTTGAGATTCGGGAAACCCCATAGAAGATACCTCTTGATCTTTGTGAATTTGTTGAAAGAAAGATCCAGATATTCTAGGGAAGGAAATATTATGGTGGTGCCTTTCTCGATGTCAATGATATTGTTACGAGCTAGGTCTAGGTGATTTATAGAGGACAGATTAGATAATATACCAATGGACAAGCTTGCAATTTTATTTCCAACAAGCATCAATCGCTGTAACATTTTATTGCAGGAGAACATGTCTAAGGGTAAGGCTAGTAAGCGATTATATGATAGATCTAATTCAACCAGCTGGTCTAATCCACAAAAAGTCCTGTTTGGTAAAACATTTATGCGATTGTATTGAAGTAATAAAATACTTGTCTGATTCAAACCCCAAAACACAAAGTCTTGGAAGGAGCTCACCAAGTTATCTTTTAGATTTATGATATATATCTTAGGGGAACCATCAAATTGGTTATGAGTTTGGTTCAGTGGAATTACACGATGTATTTTGCATTTTTGCAAGACCAGTGTATCAATTTCATTGAGTCCCAAAATAGAAGAGATATGAAATTCCTGAAAAGCATTCTTTGAAAGAGTCAGCTCCCTGACCTTATTCAAAGCTGAGAAAGCGTTTGATGGAAGATTTTGTAGTGCATTAAATCCTAGATTTAGTCGTATCGATGAGCAGTTCTGAAGGGGTGTGAAGTCTGAGGGTTTTATGAAGGAGATGTTATTGTTGGTCAGATCAAATAAAGTGATATTATCAGACCACGGCAAAGCATCTGTTGGAATAGAATTCAACTTGTTGCTACCAAGAAGGAACACTGAGAGAAGTCTATTTGAACTAAGTAAACCTGCTGGAAGAGACATTAGGCGGTTTCTCTCTAGGATTAATTGTTTGAGATTACCCAAATGCCCAAAGGCACCGTCTTCTATCACTGAGAGTTGATTGCTTCTGATTGCAAGTGTGATGATGTCTGGGAGATAGGAGAAAGACTCATTGTACAGGGTTACTATCCCATTGATGGAGAGATCAAGTACTGTTGTGTTGCTTGGAAGATCTTGTGGAACGGACCGAAGACCCAGATTAGTACAGATAGCTCTGGTACCGAGGCTGGTATTCTTTAGCTGGCAGCCACTGGGGGAGACAGAGCTCCAGTTTCCATCCTTTTCAGCTATGTCATTCCTAGGCAATGCTCCAGAAAACAAGGATAAAACACATGCAATCCACAAGCAGAGAGGAATCCTTGAGGTAGAACAAGTCAACCTTGACTTGAACATTGTGATCTCTTGGATGTCACTGCTGCAGAAGAAATTCCTTGGAGATTTTTAAAGTATCACTAACCAAAATATCTCTTCAGTTCTGTTCACGTTATGGCCAGTATGTTTCTGTGAATGAGTGATTTACACAAGATCACCATAGTAAGATTGTAATCTCTTTGAGACCCCAACTGTAGAGGACGTACCCTTCAAGATTATGAAGATTTCACCTTCTTGCAATGAGAATATTGATATCCCAGATGAATTTGCATTGTCAGTATCCAGATAGTGATGACTGAACCAAGATAAAGCCAAAAGACATTTGATGAGTATATGTAAAAATATCATAAAGTTAACCACCAACCCAAAGAGAAGCTGATCAATAGTGTACTCAGTCACTAGATCAGAGCCATACATGCAGAAACTTTGTTTCATCCACTTGAAATTTATGATCCTACCTCTTGAAATACAAAATGATTGCGGTCTTTGTTGGAGGAAGTGTTCATATAAAAATTAATTTTTACTTTTGTTAGCAAAAAAGGAAAATATAATATTGGCTGCCCCACAATGTTTCACTTTCGTAATCCAAAATGCTTAAGACATTAACACCTGCAGTTTAAGGGATAGTTGAGTTCTTTTTTCAACTACGGTTAATGATTTATGTGAAGATATTCCTATACATTACTTCAAATATGTCGATGATTTATCTTTAGTAAAATGTCGTAAATCAACAGACGTTTCACAATTACAACCCATACTTTAACTCTGTGCAATACTGTTCGCAATCAAACAATATGTCACTCAATCCTTCAAAGTGTTTTACCCTGCAAGATACTTTTATGAAAAAATCCTGCTTCTCCTGAAGTTCGTTCCATTAATGACTCTACTATATGCAATGTACAAACTAACATATTTGTTGGTATTTTATACAGGAAACTTTCCTGCCCAGGTACATTTTTTTACCATCCTTGAAGGGAATATTGAGAAAGTAATTTCATTGTCAAATAATATCGTTTTGCTGGGTGATATCAACTGTAATATGAGAAATGATGATACATTGTCTAAAAATATTAAGGATATTTGTCGTATTTGCCAGCTTAATCAGTTAATCAATGAGCCTTCAAGAGTTACACCTCATAGTAGTACACTCATTGATTTAATACTTACCTCGAATTCTATTGCTAACTTGAAGTCCGGCGTAATGTCCATTGGTTTTAGTGACCACTATTTAATATTTCTAGTCGTAAAAGGCAAAAATCCAATGCTTCATTCGAAAATATGTAAATTTTGATCTTTTCGAAACTTTAACGAAAGCAAATTTTAAGAGGACTTGAGAAATCAAAATTGGGCTGACTTCAATGAAGAAAATGTTGAAGTTGATAAAATGTGATCTCATATCAAATCTGTGTTTACAATATTAAATGATAAACATGCACCTTTTATTTCTGTCGAAAGAAAACGAAATGGGGTGCCTTGGATAACAGATGAATATATATTACGTTGGCACGTGACCGTGATTACTATAAGAAAAGGTATAAAAAGACGAAGTGTGATTGTTGCTGTGAAAAGTTCAAGTATTAAAGAAACAAAGCAAATAACCTAAACAACAATCTTAGAAAAGAGTATTACCAAAACGAGTTCTCCGAATGCAGAAATGATTTGAGCAAAAATTTGAAGATTTTGAAAAGACTCTTGCCTTCAAGGCAAAAGGAGGTAAACAACACAATCTTAATTGATGATGAAATAATAACTGACAAAGTAAAGGTGGCAAGTTTATTAAATGAAACTGAGTAATTTGAGTTCAAATCTACAAACTGGTTCATGTCCTAGCATAGTGGATGGCAATTTCAATTCTTTACAAACTTTATTTCAAACCGATTGTTCTTTCGAATTTCAAGAAATCAAATCAGAATTTGTTAGAAATGAACTACGCAATATTGATTGTAAAAAAGCTACTCAAGTTACTCAAATTATCTGCAGATATCATTACAAAAATTTAATAAATCATTAAAAATTTCATGATTTCCATTTAATTTCAAGGTTGCAAAAAGCACTCCGATACACAAGGGAGGTACGTTTAGTGTTGATAATTTCAGACCCATTTCAATACTACCCTCTTTGTCAAAAATTCTAGAGAAAGCCATACATAAACAAATGCATTCTTACCTTAACCAAAATAATTTATTATCAGAACGTCTGTCTTGATTTAGACCACTTCATTCCACAATTACATGCCTTACCAAAATTACTGATTACCTTCTTGATAATATGAATTCGGATCAGATTACTTTAACTATATTTTATGATCTTAGGAAATCGTTTGACGTTATTCCACATAAAATAATACTTGATAAACTAATTTTCTATGGCATAAGTAACAAGCTGTATGGATGGTTCAAATCTTACTTAATTGGTAGACAACATTGTGTTAATATAAACAATCATTGTAGTGAGTATTTAACTGTTAAATCCGGGGTGCCACAAGGGTCAATTCTTGGCCCCTTGATTTTTTGTCTGTATATTAATAATATCAATAATTTAAAATTTCATAATAATTCCAAGATATCACTCTATGCTGACGATACTGTCATTTTTAATCATTCTAATAATTTTTCTGAAGTTCAAGAAAATTTACAGAATGACTTTGATTGAATATGTAAGTGGTTTGATAACCAAGATGTATATACACCCTCAGAAAACTATGGTACTGTCCTCTGGATCAAGGTGGAGAACAATTGTCTATCAATTAAATTAAATGGTAATAACTTACAGTATGTCGAAACAATAAAATAAGTAGGAGTTTTACTTGAATCACAAGTGACGTGGTCTGAACATATGAAATATATAAGTACTAAAATATCTCGTTCTTTTAGATGTATTCGTTGTATAAAACGCCTAATACCCCCACAAAACTCTTGTAAACCTCTATTTTGCATTGATTTTAAATAAGGATTACAACACACCACAATGTACGCTTCTTACAACTTTAAATTGGCAATGGGTCGAACAAAGATTAATATATCACTACTGTTTGTTAGTTTTTAAAAATTATAAATGTCATATGGCCCCAACATATTTAAAATAATTTATCGATTATCCCACCTTCAACTACTGTATCCGCTATTCAATAAATTCTCTTCTTGACA